CCCCCCCCCCCCCCCCCCCCTGTCCGCGTCTCGGCCTCCAGGTGCCACTCAGTCAAGCCTTTCCTTAGAAGGCCAGGGCCAGGGAGGCCAGGGTCGCGTCCCTGCGAGGTCGGAGGTGGGCTCTGCCCAACGCGCTTCGATGCCGACGCGCGTCGCGGCCAACCATTCTGAGACGGCCTTCTCCAGGTTGTCCTTAAACTCCTGAGTTGCAGCCGCGGAGAATCATCGAGAAGACATCTACTACTACTATTCGCCTGTGTGCCATTGTGACAGGATCAACGAGCGTCCTGATGAAGCTTGCTGTAGACAAACAAGTGCGTTTCTTGCTTCTCCCTGAAGAAGTGGCCATAGTGCGCCATGAAATGTTTCAGGTAGCCCCCGAAACCTTCAACATCTGTGTACCAGCTCTTGAACTCCCCGAGCAGAGGCTCTTGCCATGCCATGGCACGGCCGCCCAAGCCCACAGCTGTCAGAAGCTATCATGAAGCTCGAGACACTGGAGCCTAGAAGCTTCGCACCATCAAGCTTTGAACATCGGCTACATAACCGCCCCTTGGTAAGCTTGCCCGGTGCACTCGAAGAGGAGCTTCGAAGGATCTTCTGCTGCTGAGAAGATACGCGCCTGGGATAAAAACATGTTGAGCTATCGCTCTTGCAGAACAGCCCCTGCCTTCAGCAAACAGCTGACGAGCACTCCGCTGCAGCTTGTGTGGAACACAGTTGCCTCGAGAGGATTGGCTGACAGAGTCAACTGGTCCCAGCCTTTGCTCTAACAGCGCGAAGCTCGTAAAGTATGCCTGAAACGACCTGTCACCCATCTTTTTGCGCTATCATGGCTTCTGAATCTGCTCGAGAGCGACACTGCAGCTCCGTCGAACTTTTGCAACCATCTCCAGTAGAATCATGACGACCAGCTGCGGCAGCCATCTGCGCTGCCACCCTCGCAGTCAGGGACTGCAGGCTCAAGTGTCTGCAATGTGGACTCATGCCCGTTTCCAGGTGCATCGAAAACAACACACGATGTCTTGGAGACTCGTCATGATTCGTCCACACCACGTTCTCCCGTGCAGCGCCTAAGAATCGACACGCTTGATCCCACACCATCTCGTTTCCAGCTGCCGTGCAGCTCAAGCCTACGTTGATGGCTCGCAGTGCATGGTAGGCTGACCAAGACTGTGTCCACTTATCCACTGGGGCTGATCCAGGCCATGCTACGCCAGTTCCAGTCTTCGAGCAGGTAATGCAGTTGAAGTTCGGGATTCGGTAAGCCGTTCAAAGCTCGTCTCATCATCGATGCCCGCACCCACCACTGCCTTCTTTTGATACAAGGTATGCACAGCGGCTGCTCGCATGGAGGCACCAGCGCCCGCGGCTTGCTGTGGGCTTGATGACGGCCATGTCATGACAGTCACAAGCAGCTGGAAAAGATGCGAGGCCAAAGCAAGAGAACAGCAAGCGGCTACGGCGGCCTTCATGGCCAATTTCTGCTCTCTGACTTTGCCATTGGAGAAGGATGCTGATGCCTGGGCTTTGTAGTGCGAGCAACGCATCTGCCCTCCCATTGCCCGCCTTCGTCTTGAAAAAGTTGAAGGCGCAAGTGAAGGCCTCCACATGTGGATGCCGAATGAAGCCTTGAACCTCGAACCCAAACTCAATCATGAAAACCATCACCACGGAACAAGAGCACTTCATCCGACAAGTGACAAGTGATTCGGAAGAAGGCTATGCAAGTAAGACAAAGCATACGACAACAGAGTCACTAGACCTAGACTCCGCGGGTCATCGGGCTGTGAGACACGACGTGGCATCCGCAATGCCCCTGCCTCGCGTGCGTGGACGTTTCGGAGTTCCACGCAGGTGTTCAGGCAGCCACCTGGAGGCTCCTCGCCACCACATTTTGGTGCAGAGGAAACCGGCTGAAAGCACTTTCAGGCACTTCCTGAGCTGGCATGACGTGTGCGGGAAAAGAAAGCTCGGGAAAATCCTGGACCTGCATGCCACAACTGTGTCTTCAGCTGCAACCACTTCCAATAATTTTGCAGCGCCACCTTCTGCACTACGGAGCCAGACTTGTGGTCAAAATCAAAAGGCATTCTGTCAAGCCGGAATGAAGCTTCCTCTCCTGCGGAGGCTCACAAAGATTCCCTGCTTTGTGGAACTGGATTTGGAAGTTTCCGGCCTGGAAACGGCGTGTGGAACATGCCCGGATCCTCCTGACCGGCGTGTGACATGCGAAAACCCGCGTGTCCGCAGATGCTTGGCGGGCATGGCCACCGAGTCCGCTGCCAGCTGCACCCCTCGTGGAACATTCTCCGGCCTAGCAGAAAGCCGCAAGTGTCGCTTCCCACATCTGTCAGAGGAGTGTCCGAAGAGTGTCTCAGAGGAAGCTGAGATGCCGTCACATTGTAAAAGTCGCCTGCCAGCCGCATCTCTAGCATGGACTGATCAAGCCTGGTCGAGCAATGAAATGCGATGTCAAGGCTTGCGATACAAAGCATTCGTCCAGGCCACACTCCCACCGAGCTTCTGGAGACACCACCTGCAAGAATGACGAGATCAGCAGGCTGGGCTGAGACGCATGCCACCCTTTCCCTTTTCAGGCGGCAACCATCGAATTCGTCCAAACCAACTACGAAGCCAGCCGATTGGACCTGAGTTCATCATTCCATCGAAAAGGCATCTTCGATCATCGCAAGACCTTGAAGGCCCGGCTAAATTGCCCGGAGGGGGTGGGGCCGGGCTCTGCTCGGACAGCCTCACAAGCGCTGTGCTGCGGAGCCGCCCGAAAGTTATCCTCTCATCAAGGCCACGGCCCAAGCTCATCCGTACTCCACTCCTCTTTGCCACTCGGACAATACCTCAGGGCCCGGGGCTCTCTCGTTGCGACAAGCTCTCGTGTTCTCCGCTGCATTCCAGCTGCATGATCTCGCCGTGTTTAGCCTCTTCGAGACCAAGAAGGTCCTTTCGACGCATGATGGTACTTCGAGACTCCAGCTTCCTGGGCACAAGGAAAACAACCTCAAGTCCTGCCAGGGTCTTCAACGCGACATGCCGTCACGACCTCCCCGCAAACCAAAAATTCGAGACTCCGCCTCGCAGAGGCTTACTCCGTGGGCCTTGGTATGTAAAGGGAGTGAGTCCGTAAACAGGGCGCATCTGCTGCACCCCTCGAGCCACCGTGCATTGCCACGTGAGTGCACGGGTGGATTGCGGAGGGCATAGCTGCACAAATTATCATGCGAATGTTGATGCTCACGTCAGATCTGCACAGAAGCCGAAAGTATTTTCCTCGGTCATCGCCTTGAACTGCTTCGCACACGGAGGCAGAGTTTCATGCCTCCATGTGAAGAACCCATGTAGACCCGTCGAAAAAGGTCCACCCCATAGATTGTAATGTTGGCGTTCCAAAGCACTCACATCCCAAGAAAGCCGGGCTGAGATTCGGGGTTCGCAGGGTGCGATCGAACTTCGGAGGAACTGACCTGGTGTATTGTGTGGTCCTAGTCCTAGCGACCCCTACTAGCTAGCCTCCGCGTCAGGACTACCGCCTCCAATCTCGTCGTCCTCTGAGACAATTAAGGCATGGGCTAAGGCGGGTAAGGGCATTGGTTGCCAGCTGCTCGCTTCGTGTCGAACTTTGTTTGGTCCTTGGCATAGAGAATGTTCTGCACTTCCTCGACAAACTTGTTGACAGTCATGCTGCCGTCAGGGTTCTCTTCCCAGGCCTGAGTTTCAGACTGTACAAGCTGTTGACCTGCGCCTCCTTACAGCTGGACTGCCTGTGCATGCATGTTCTCAGATGTCGGCTTGACACATGATTTCAATGTCTCTGAGCTTTTGGAAGTAGAAGTCCCGCTCTGTCTCCAACCCGTCGACCTAAAAGGTGATGCAGAATGCTGTCAGCGTCCACTGCTCGCACTGCCTGAGTCACTGAGAGCCTTTCTGTAATCTTCAAGTCGATCACCTCTTCCCGGATGCGTTCGTGCTCCTCCTTGCGGCCCAGTCGAAACATGGGCGATGGCTGGGCCGAGCCCAAGGCTTCGCGGCTCGAATTCTGCACGCTCTTCGACTTTTCTGTCCGGCACTTCTACGGTCGAACAGTCTCAGGAGAAAACAACTCAACAAATCTGTCCCTATCGCCCCATGTGCTGCTGGCGCACACCCAAGCAGATGGTAAGGAGCTTACATGTCTCCGAGGCATCCGACGTGTTCTGGAGCAGCTAGAGTCTAGAGTCAACTCTGGATGGCCGTCTCGACTCACCACCATCTGCGACACGACAGGTAGGCGGGTAGACGGCAGATTTCCTTCTTCGGACAAGGAGATGTCGACCAAGGCTTGGAGACCTCTGGGCCAAGGACTATGTTCCGTTCCAAGAAGCCTCATTGAAGCCCAGTTGCTCGGCTGCCTTCCGCTCTGCATGGGATAGTTTTCTCCACGGCTTTGCCCAAACCGGTGCAGTTCCGTTGTCCCAGGCGTTCCTGCTCTTGACGCCGAGCTTCAAGGCCCAAGCCCGCTCTTCCTCTGTGAGGTCCGCCCAGCTCTTCTCACAAGCCGGATCTTGCGGGATCCGAGAATCCTTTGCATTCCAGCTCTCCGGCGTGAAGCCCAGGCCTTGGGCTGCTTGTCGTTGAAGGAAGGATAACTGCTCCCAGTTCACTTCCCAAATCTTGCCAGTTCCTTCGTCCCACGCGGCCGCGGTTTGGATACCAAGTCGGGCAGCAAGCATCAGTTCACTCTCCGACAAATCGTCCCAAGACTTCAGGGCCGCATCCTGCTTGGCCACAAAATTGCGCAGTTGCCCCAAAGCGTCAGCGATCTCCAACTCCAAGCCGAACTGCCGAGACAGAAACCTCGCCACCTCCAGGATTTCTTCAGCATTGTAGCTTGCAGCATGGGTGAGGCCCTTTATGACGACGTGCTCCACCTCTTGCTTGATGCTGTCCAAGCTTCGCTTCACAAGGGGCAGCGCAAAGGTGTCCTTCAAGTTGGGGCTTTGCTTTTGATTGTTGCACAGACTTACACTCCACGTCTGCTGACAAGCGTCGTCGATATCGCCACTTATCGCCACAAGCGGTACTTGCTTCTGCACTTGCTGGGTAGCAGTTGATCCTTGCCGCACTATCAGATCACATCTTCATGCTCGCAGTCTGTCAGCGGTCCTAAAACCAGGGAGCGCAGCATGACAATACCTCTGCGAGGGTGACACTCGACACGATACGACACAAGTGTAAAAGGGTACAAAGCACGCCTGCAACTCTCTGCGGTGATGTGAGCGCCGCATCACAAGCCACAGACCCACCCTGTGAGGACCCCATGAGCAAGACCTGAGGCAAGCACAGAAGTCTCTCCACAGCACCAGCTGAAAGGGCCCAGGGCTCCAGCTCGTGGAGACTCATCATGCCAGACTTCGGAGAGTGCCTTCACCTCCGGCTCTGTATTTAAACGTCCAAGAAGAAAACGAACCCTGTCCAGCCTCTTGCTGCACCAAGGCTTGAATCGCACGGCGAGTTTCCACAAGCTGCGTTTCGTTGATCTCGTCCTCCTTCTAAAAGGATGTCACAGTGTTACGCGACGATCCCACATGCGGCACAAGACCCCAGTTCCTCCAAGGCGCCGCTGCGGTCGGTCAGGTATTCAAACCAAGCATTCATTCCTTTGCCAAGCAAGAAGCACTCACCGACTTGGGGACCGATACTGTACCACCGCGAAACGGCATCCGGAATAGATGCGTCTGCTAGAGTTTTCACTCCCAAGCAAATCACTCAATGCGGCTCCAGGTGCCGCGACCCCGTCGAAACGTTAAGGGCGGTTGCCGGTGACTCTCCCACAAGGAATGGCCCGATGTGGACGCATGTAGCCCAGTTCACATCTACTCTAGTTTTGCTGATACTCCCCATGTTCCCTGTCGGCGTAAGTGAACGGCAATACTTCGGTACTCCGATACCATCAACATTGGTGTCAAACTCGATGGTAAGCCTGTATGAGGATTGCAGTCAAATCCTTGCCGTACACCATCCATAAAACCCAGTTTGCATCGTCTCTACATCAACCACATCCTCGCATTGAACATTACGCATGCAGATTGCTGGGTATCATACCGGTGCATTCGCAGTGCTGTATACCAATGTGCAGATTAGATGTGAATCGGTGTGCTGCAGGCAAAAGCCGTTTCCATGGTTGTTAACTCGGTTTTCTGGTTTTCTTCGGATTCCGAGACTCGGTGCCATCGATATTGTGTCAGTGTTTTCGGGCAGTGAGTCAGAAATCAATAAGTACATCCATGAAAATCATTTTAAACTATGTGAATAACTTAGTTGGATGTTAGCATGAACATGTGAACACACAAACGCATTTCTGTGGGGAGTGCTGGCCAACGAAGAGGGGCCTCACCTCCAAAGCCTGATCCTGTTTCGCGGCATGACGGACAGACGCGAACCCGACATGGCGAGGCTTAGAACACCCCGAGCCAAACATATCACGGGAGCAAACGACATCTAGTTGTGGCAAGCCCTGAACTCTATAATTAGCCGAAGCGGGGCGGGAGGGGGTGATAAACCCTAAATTGCTCCAAACCTTAGATCAAGCGGGTGGCGACAAACCCCGAATGCTCGAAAGGGTGGGCGGTGGCAAAGCCCAAAATGGAGCGGAGCAAGGCGAACCCCGGCAAACTTTCACAGGGACGGGTGGGAACGCCACTAACCCTAAAAGAGCAGGGACTGGCAAAACCGTGAACCACAAAAGTTCCGAAACGGCTTGGGTGAACCAAACCCGCAATTCAACAGGGACTTTGCAAAATCCTTAAATATGGACAGGACCCAAACCTTGAACCCTGGATGGAATGGTGAGCGAACAGCGGTGTGAATCATAAACTCCCAAAGAGTGGGACAACAAAAGCCTGGACCGAAGGGCTGAATAGACTGACAGACTGACATTGAGCACCGAGAAGCCCTAAGTTCGGGCCCGACACTAACTCGGCAAGCCTTAAGTCACAAAAGGGGCCCGTTCAGGAGGACTAGTCCGTTACCC